ATAATGAAAATTGTAAAAAAGCCGTCACCTATTTCTATACTATTTTCCTTCAACACGCTCAGCCGCACCCGTCGGTTTCAGTCACGGCCCCCCCCACAACTCTCACTTTAACACCCACCCCCCCCCCCCCCCCGGCCGCCGCCCCTAACGTTCTGGAGAAGTGTCTACCCTTATAAACAACCGGATGGCAAAACCGGCTTTTCCGTTTTTTTTTCCGAGTTAAATGAAGTTTGAAGAAAACTCATTAGGCTTACAAGTTTTCAAAAACCACAATTATAATCCTGGTTTCAGCCTTCCTTAAGTTTGTCCACGGCCGTTCCTCCTGTTGTGTTTTCTGTATTATTGAAACTTTTCCCACCACTGTCTGCCATTTTGATAAACTTCGTGACACAGCTTCGATTTTTTCTGAAAAAAATGTTCTCAGCAAACCGAATTAACATGAGTTTTTCGTCTGTGAAATGATTTAGTTATTGAAGCAAAACAGCGTACACCTGGTGTGAAAAGTGAAGTAAAAGTGAATGGATGAATGAAATATTTATGCACAAATTGATCGTGACGTCACAACATGCGGGGTATCGCGTTATCACGCGTGAGGAATAAAACAGTGCGGAAAATACTCACGCCTGCCGGTGCTTACTGTGCAACTGTCGACACGATTGTTATGCATTGATTAGCTTTGGAAATGACCGTCACGGAGTTCTTGTTCTTGAATCAATCTTGTTGGGTTTTATTCGGTGGTTAAAATTCAAATAATGGGCTCTGGATCCGCGTCCACTCAATCTAGGCTCATAGACTACCTTGTTGTTGTTGGCGTACGGAAACCGACCGTCGACTCAACTGAGACTCCGGTGCTTTTACGGCGTTTTCCACAAAAGGATCATAAAGACTTCGTTCTACCTGGAGACGTAGTTTTCTTTTGCCAACCGGAAGGATGCAGTACTGTAGCGAAAAAGTTTTCTTTGCGCGAAGCGAACTCGTTCGCGTTTACGTTGACTGAGAAAGATTCTGGTAAGGTTCGTTATGGAATTTGTGTTAATGTGTTTCGACCTTGTTCGAACTTTATTCCCAAGGAAAGAAACGATTGCAGGGAAAGAATTCTAACTGTGCGGAAGAGGTCTCGACACAGACGAGATTTCTGCATGAGTTTGACATCCTTGTGCATCATATCGCATCATCCATTCTTTCCGACATTCAGGGAGTGCCTATTTTTCCTACGCAAGATGATCGACTCGAGGACGGGAATTACCGGGAGATTGGACAAAAACGACAACCTTCTTCCAGGCTTGAATAGCTGGTCCGTGTTTACATGTACCGAGGACCAGAAAACAAGCCATTTGGCCGGCGATATGGATGAAGTAGAAACGTGGATTCAGCGATTGTTGCTTGCACAAGCTCCCGTATCAGGACGAACACGCGTGGAAGTTCAACTTCACTCTCCGTCTACCTACCCGCCATTAATTTTTGCTGCCCCTGAATCGAACCGGTTTCCACTTATAGATTTTCCAATTCATATTCCTTTGGAGCTTCTTGGTGTGGAGACATGTCTGAAAGTTTTAACGTGTATTTTACTGGAACACAAGGTAAGCTACATGTAATCTTATGTAAGTCTCACTCGATTGAAAACAAACAAGCTTCCACGAAATGTCCTGCCGCACCAGCAGGTGTATAGAGTAATTTTCATGTGATTTTACAATATTTAAATTCTGTTCTTTGCCATCGTTTTTATTTTTGGCAGTTTTTTTTACTTAAATGGAGACCAAACTAAGAGAAAATGAATTTAAACTGGTTAACACGCGTTTTGTTATTCCCTTGGGGTAGCTAAGTGTAAAGCTCAGAGCAAAGAAAGATTTTGTAAACAAGAAGCGTGTTTCTTTGAACCGTCTGGGTTTTTTCGAAAGAAGCTTATATCCATATTGCATATCCACAACTGTTATCGATATTTTCCCTTTTTTACGCGTTTCTTTTTGCGTGAAAATGATTTCATTTACACCTGCCTTGTCTTGAAAGATTGTAATGAATGTTTACATTCGTTCGGGACCGCTGCATTTGTTGACATGGCATAGCTAAGAATATATTGATCTTGCAGAATTTTAAATATTAAAATCCTGTAAGTTTATTTTCTGCTGTTGAATTAAACATTGAAAGGCGGGTTAAAAGAATTTTTAGCCGTGCATAGCACAAAAAAAATGCAGATCTGCTAGGAAGTAATAAGTACTTTCAGTATTTAATAAATATTGCAAGTGTGCTTTATGTGCACTTTAATGGCTTTTTTTAGATGATGACGAAGGATAAAATTTTTATTTATTTATTTTTTAAAAAATAATGCTGTAATCTGTTACAATAAAAACCACCATTTACTTGCTAGTGAATACCAAAAAATAATGTGGGAAAACTGTAATACCTTTTTTCTGAGTTTTGAAGACTTAAAGATTGTGATATGATGATCTGTTGTAAGATAAAAATAAATGGATAAAATTAATAATAATTTTTCAGCCAAGGTGATTTCTAAGAAATAAAATTCTCAATCTTAAGGTTGATAACAGCTTTTGAAACTTCCCATATGACTGTTTGGCGTACAAAAGAGTAATACTGTTGTGCGGTACAAAGTTGTTTGAATTTTGATCACTTTTAAAAAGTAAAATTGCATGAAGGAATCTATTGCTTCCACTTCTGAGATGCAACATGCAAAGAAAGTAGTGTCCGATAGCCCAGGGCTAGTGGATTTTGCTATCGGGTTAGTGAATTCTGTTTTTAACTTGCCTAACGAGCAAGTGATGTTTTTTGAGGAATTCGAATAACGGAACTGTGAAAATCAATTCTGCTAGTCAAAAAACTTTTGGGGCTAGTTGAACTCTCAAGTTGAGACACCAAGTTTACCTTTTCCATCATTAATAATACAGGGTAAAATTTTGTCAGTAAAACTAAAGTCAGTGTTATAAGCGACCCAAGTGAGCAACATTTTTATGACACAAAACTGCACTACTCCAAAAGACTTCATGAAAGTCTGAATTGACCCTGGTTGCTCTTAAAATTAGCCTTCCAAACTCTTTTAACCAGGTTAGGTTTTGAAAAGCATTTTATCTATGGGGCAAATTTGCAGGGGTTAATTCACTAACTAGGGGCAAACACACTACTGGGTGAAACCACTGCCTTCCAAACAAACCATTGCAGAAGGTTTGCTATGAATCTCAACTTCCTTTATGCAACTGACGAACTGAAAGGCAATGAAACCTATGGTGAATGGTTGGTCTGTGTTAATTTAATGCAAGTACTATAGTCTGCATGGAAATGGATGGATTATCTTAATTTATTATTGGGTATCCTTTAATTTTGTTACAGTATGTCGATGTTGTTAAGGGCCAGGTTGCAAGGGATTTTGTATGGCAATTTGGTAGAAAAATGTTACTAGCTACAATAGCACAAGTTAAGAAAAATAGTACCTTATTTCCTTGCCTACATGTACATCAAAGTAAAAGTTACGGTCCTGGTACAAACATGTGGTCGAATGCAAATTGGGAATTGTCAATTGATGAAACTTAAACCCTATTGGTGAATTGTTTGGTGATGGCTCATAATTTACATGTATAGACATCAAAAGAAATACATATTATCTGTAAGGGTTAAAAGTATTTCGTTAGCATGTAATCCATACAGCATGCATGCTAAGCATACCAATAAAACAGGTGTCATATACATGCACTGGTTTTATTTATTTTTTCCTACGATTGTGGACACAGCAGCTACAGATGGCGGAGTCTACTTCTCGTTAAAATTACAAATAAAACAGACTCTACTAGCAAGCGGAAAAATGCAAGATCAAGTTCTTATATCTTTTTATAATTCACTGATCAAACCTCTGGTCTAGTAATTGGGAAGTTAAGCTGCAGCAATCGAGGACTTATTGGGTCTTCTGTAAGATTGTTGCAGTTTTAATAGGCCATTTTGCCACTCAAGTCACTCACGTGGTACAGAACCGCCAGCCATGCTGATGAGCAAAAGATTCAATGGGATGAACAAGACAAACAAAGGATATTACCATTTTCAAATGAAGGAAGCCTTTTGTTTGTCATCTCTCACTGTGTCCCTAATGCACTCCAGCTTGGCAGTTTTATACCAGGGCCGATTTGTTCAAAGGTGGGTTTAAATAAACCAGGGTTACTGCAAGATTTGAATTCAGATTTGAAAGCTAAAAAAGCATTTCAGTTTTAATTATTTTTGTCTACAATAAGCTCTAAAAATAGTGGAGAAAATTATCCAGGAATTAATGCTTTTGAACACAAGAAAAAGAAACACGGGTTAGATTTAAATGTCACCCCCGGTTAAGCGCTAATTGGCCTTTGACCAGTTGGGCCCAGGTGAAGTAGCTGCAAAGCTAGGGCCTATGGTGCATGTGCATGTAGTTAATGCTCATTTTGTCTTTCTCAGGTTGTTGTTCAGTCAAGAGACTATAATGCATTAACTATGAGTGTGATTGCTCTGACGTCTCTCTTGTACCCTCTGGAGTACATGTTTCCTGTGATTCCCTTGCTGCCAACATGCATGAATAGTGCTGAGCAGCTGTTGTTGGCTCCCACACCATTTGTGATTGGTGTTCCTGCGAGTTTCTTTCGATACAAAGCTGAAGGATTTCAAGTACCAGCTGATGTTTGGGTTGTGGATCTGGATTCTAACAAGGTAGGCAACTCATAACAATTAAGCTTTTAAAGGGGCTACATCATGATATGTAAGTATCTATTAACCAACTGCCTGGCTTAACCCTTTAGGTCCCAAGAGTGTCCAACATCAATTTTCTCCTAACAACATCAGCAGATCATCAAGAGTAAAGGCTATGTGAATTACTAAATTGATTAACAAAGGAAGAACACTTTAGTCTGAAACCAAATTCTCTCAACTGCCCTTAAAAGAAATGTATGGAGATCAGTATGGAGAATTTGTATGTGAATCTTTGGGCTTAAAGGGTTAAGTGGAAGGTTGGTGCCTGGGATACCCCTGGAGGGGCTTCCACTGTAGCCAGTTAACTTGGAGGGAAATTTACATCTCAAAATCGATTGGGCTAACTTGTAGTAGGAAGGAAATTTGTGTCAGTAATTTGCGTGAAGTTTTTACTTTCTGAACTTGCCATGAGGATCGACGTAGATCTTTTTGAGACTCAACCCTTCAAACTTAAAACACATAAAGTACAGAACTCTGTTCACACGAAAAAATGAATTGTAGCAAAATTCCGGTAAAAGAAACCCAAGCCAAGAGTGAAGAGTGAACTATGCAAACAGCAATTAACTGTAACACTTTTTGACTGCAATGTTTTTGGCACACATAATATTTCTTTGGCAAATAGAAACAATTACAGGTTACCGTACTGTTTTTGCTTTGTTTGTTTGTTTTTTGTATTTAAGGACAATTTCCAAGTATAAGCCCTCAGGAGCTTATACCATATTTATTCGATTAACTGCACTGGGCAGTTATTAAATTTTTGGACCTTGAGAGTGGGCGCTTTTTTGAGCTGGGCGCTTATTGAATTTTCACCATTTTCAGCAAGTGTAGTATGTTTCTTTTGCAACAAAACAATAAATGGTAATAACGAAACGTGCATGTGTAACAAAACAAGGTTTCTGTAAAATACTCTGAAGAAAACCTGGTCTTTGTGGAAGTCTCTTATTGGGTGGAAGAAGGTGGGTGGGCGCTTTTTTGAGTTTGAGTGGGACGGGGAGGGGAGGTGGGGTGGGTGCTTATTCGAGGTGGGCACTAATTTGAGGTTGGGCGCTTATTCAAATAAATATGGTATTCTGAGTGGCGATTTAACGGACCAAGGTGTTTTGGCGTTAAAAGTTTGGGGGGCTTATTTTTGGAGGGGCTTATACATGGAGAGGGTAATTTTCAGAGTTTTTTGGCCATTAGGTCTGAAAATGAGGGAATGATGTTTCAAAGAACTTAGCTCCTAAATTTCCCAGCAAGGGTGGGGCCATGTCCCTCACCCCACTACCCCCTCTCCCCCCCCCTCCCAGGAAAGGGCACCTCTGGTGCATATTTTTTGCCTTACTGGCCGTGAATGGTGCTTACCTGCTGAGCTAGAATTTGGGGAGAATGCCGAAAAATCATGATTATTAAGAAAATTTCTAAGGTTCGTGCTCTGTGATTAAATTTGTTTTTTTATCTACTTCATAACTCTACAGGATCATTTTGTGTATGGGTATGACCTCAGTGCAGAATGGACTGAAAACAGTAATATCATCGTAACATAGCCCCTAATTAAAGATTGTGTCAAGACTAGTTTATCATGCATCTTATTAAGGCTACATGCTGCTTTAAATCCATAATGCTTACATATAATTTACATAGTAAATGGTCCATCTAATATCAATGTTATTGAACAATCAATAACTGTCACTTAATTTTAATGCAGCACAGGATGTTAATTTTGTAAAAATCATTATTGATGCTCTTTGTCAGATTACAGTTCCACTGACGGCAGATGAGCTGCCTCCATTACCTCAACGGGAAGGAGCAATACTGATCAGGAACTTGAAAATGGTTAGTTTTGTTTTTATACATGTACTTCTAGAAAGGTTTGACTTTTTTTCTGCAATCACTTGTTGCACAATATTCGTATCTGGAAGCTTATCTTTAAGCTACATGTTTATTCAGGGCTTCTGATATTTCGCGCGGTCACGTACCCGCAAAATTCAGGTATTTCCGTGAAATCCCGCTAAATTCCCAAAAAAACACGAAATACCTCAAAATCCGCCAGAAATATTTCCAAATACATGTTGGCAAAACATATTTAATACTTATCTTGGCTGTTAGACCTGTTTTATTCACCCCAAACATCCAAATTTATCTTGAAACCTCATCACTGCAATGAGTAAACAACGTCCCAAAACTACCAGGTGTTTTTAGATGAACATTGCGAAAAACTGGGCACTAACCATAATGTCAATAGCTTTAGCATTCGCGCATTCCTCAAGTGAACTGTTGTTGAAAGAGCAAATGATTATCCCTGTTAAAAAAACGTTAAACAACGCTGGTCATATCAACGCAAAATTGATCAATTTTAGCGAAATTTGCTAAAAAAAAAAACAGCGAAATTGGCAGTTTTTTACTGATTGTTTCTTGGTGAAGTTTACCCCCCAAATTTCCCATGAAATCGGCCGATTTTTTCTGCGAATTTGCCCCTGAAAATTTTTTTCTCCACGAAATATCAGAAGCCCTTTTTATTGTAATTTTAACTAAAGTTTTACTGTTTTTTTCTGATTCCAGGCTCTTCAAGCTCTCAGCATGCCACCTCAAACTGTGACAAATCTTGATGATTCAACCCCGCTAGATGACCTTGAACCCTTGACCCCTGGTGATACAAATGGCTTGTCTGGGTCGCTTGTATATGGCAATGATGTAGATGCAGTAGACATTGCAGTTAGAGTGGCAATGGTCAAATTCTTTTCCTCGCCAAACGTTCTTGGAGGTATTAAGGAACACACAAGGACACTGAGACTCTTTTCTCGCCCTGTGGTAGCAATTCAGACAGGTCATTTCCTAAGATCAAGGCCAGAGCTGTCAGAGTTTGTTCTAAGGCTTTCAGAGACTCAGGTGATCATGAATTTTAGTAATTTTTTTTTCCATTGATGTTCTTTTTTTTCCAGGGAAACTTTGCTTATGTCAATAAATTATTGGAATGGACCTGTGTAATAACAGTATAAGGGTAGCAGGAATGTAATCCCCCAACCTCCCATTTAGGACCCAGGTGAACAGATCCGTTTACATGCCTTATTATTGGAATCTATTATGGTTATTATGGTTATCTATTATGATTATGGATGTTTTATCTATTATAGGTTCCTCTAAGGTCTAGTTATGATTTTTAAGAGCTGCAGGCCAGAGGAGATTTCTCCCAGCTACTACATTACAGAAACGCGCCCATTCAAAAACGTCGATCGTGAAAATGCAAATAAGTGAAAAATGACGTTAATTTAGTGTCAATCAAGAAATTCCCTGGGTATATCCCTTTCCTGGTTATTGTTCCTGCTCAGACAGCCGCAACATTTGCCTATTCTTCGATGAAGAATCGAACTTCACGCGACTAACAATAGCTCAGTCTGTTTAAAAACTGTCTAAACTTACTCCGAATTAGCATGTGACTTTTTGCTGTTAAACGCTTCAAAATTGAAAAATCCTCGATGATTGTTGTTGATTGTGCCGTAAATAATTCAATGCACTTACTTAAAACGAATTTTTACCTTTTAAAAACTTCATGGCGTTCGAATCGATCGATGAAATATGATCGCAACCGATGCGTTAATAGTTTGTTTACATTTTGTCGCAGGTTTTGGATAATATTATAAACCTTAAAATTTACGGGCAAATTCGATGAAAAAGCACTCTCACTTACATTCTTCATTTAAGATATTGATTTTAGCAAAGTATAAGGCAAAATTAAGAGCGATACTTTCTTTAAGAATGCTATAACTACATATTAATGGCCAAACCTAGACAGCGATCTAATCCGTCTCTTGAAAACAACTACAATACCGCTTCTGATAATAGTATTTATAAACGCTGCAAACATTTTTATTCAATCTTATCGAGTGATTTTTGTGAAGAGGAGTTTTTAAGTGAAGAATACTTTGGTTTCTGATTAGCTTAAACTGTTTTGCCATCGAAACAATTCGCACGAGACTACCGAATTTGCGAGGGTTTTATGTTAGTGCACGAGGTAGAAAAATGCTTCTCTTTGCATAAACATTTTCTTCTTTGTAACTATGACAAAGACATTCCAACACTTAAAACAATGGCAACCTACTTCTATTGTTTCTGCATTGTCTCTTGAAAGTGTGAGAATAGTTGACCGCTATGAAGTTCATAAGAGACCGAAAACGACGGTAGTCTTTGAAACCTCGTTTTTGCTCTCAAAGCCTAATGGGTACCCCACTTTTCACGGGCGACGTTTTTCAATGGGCACATTTCTGTAATGATGAGCAATTGACCGTCAGCTACTTTCAAAGGAATAAAAAGAGGAAGATAAATTATGCCAAAACTATTTCTCAAGGCTTCAATTCCCTGCCTTCTAATTGGGTTACATGGAAACTTTAAATTAATCTTAGTGACAATCCTGTGAGGTTAATTCACTGACCTTCTTAATCACACTACCCATGAATATTGTGCTTAACAATAAAATCAATCATTTGTTTACCTGATCGAGGGCGTATATAATACTGCAGCTGTAATATGCACAAAAACTACATTAAACCCATCAACAAGATGAACTTGGGAGTGGGTGCCTTAAAGGTGGAAAGGCCTATAGTGCAAAAGGAGAGCATTGCCTTGGAGGTAACCATGGCAACCAAGTAAACGCCAATTACCCGGCAGCATGACACTGAAAAGAATTCAGTGGAATACTTACAAAACCTGTACTTTAATACCTATCCAAGGGTGGGAGGATTGGGAGCAAAAACTAGCAGATATCACAGGTCATGACTTGCAATGATCTGCACAACAAAGGAAAGCAAAGCAGAGCTCAGATATGCAATCACATGTAAGCCCCTGCAGTCCCGGTGACCACCCTGCACAAGCCTGGATTCCTGGGGCTCAACTGCTGACCCTCTAGTGTTGTCTTGAGGTTAACCTTGCCTAAATTACAATTTAGCCTCATCAAAAGAATTACATAGATTGTATACAGTTGTAAATAATAATGTACAGGAATGATTACCATAATGATTTTTTGTTGGTGTTTTAGTCACTAGAATATTATGGAGAGTGGTTGATCTACCCATCCAACACAGTTTTTACCAAGATCCTTAAAGGTAAATTATTATAAGTTGTTGTTTTGTTTAATTCTTCAGGCAATTGTAAAAAAAGGTAAGAGTATACAATCTGCAGTGATTTTGCTACAAAAAGGTATGGTGAGTTCTGGGACTGCTGAGGAAAAATCAGGAGTCCCAGTCCAGAACCAAGGAGTCCCAGTTCAAAAAACAATGACTCCTAAATTCAGGGCTTCTAGCTGATCTTTCACATGGTTGCGGAGCTGTGAAATTCAGGTAAATCCGCGAAATCCTGCAAAATTCACAAAAACACAAAAAATACGGCAAAATTCAGTAGAAATCATATCAAATACATGTCTGTACAACATATTTGAAACTTATTTCAGCGATTGGGGCTATTTACTTGCCGTAAACTTTCAAATAAATTTATGTTAGAACTTCGTCACTAAAACATGCAAACAACATCCTGAAACTACCAGGCGTAGATTATGTTGCGAAAAACTGGGCACTAGCCATGATGTTTTAAAAGGCTTCACCATTGGTTCATTTCTGGAGCGTATTGTTGTTGAAAGAGCAAATGATGACCTCTGTTTGAAAAACGTTAAAAACGCTGGTCTGATCAGTGCAAAACTGATTGATTTCTAGCTAAATTTGCCTTGAAAATAACCACAAAATCGGTCGTTTCCTACCGATTGCTTTTTGATGAAGTTTGCCCCGAAAACTCCTGCAAAATTACTGCGAAATCGGCCGATTTTTCCGCAAATTTGTCCCTAAAAACCCCACGAAATTTGACTTTTTCTTCCACGACCTATCAGAAGCCCTGTAAATTGAAAATGCTTGGGCCTTTATGTAATTCAGACAGATAATCTGAGGACAGACTCTGTATTAATTAGCGTACAGTATACTGAAATTAATTTAGAGTCCTTATATTTTAAAGCACAACAAAGACTTATAAAATAAATATGCTTAGTTTAACAACAGTTGTATTAACTGCCACAGAAATCACACAAACAGGATATTATTATTCCTGGATCGATCAACCAATTTTGCATCCTATGGGATGCATGCCATGATTTATTTTGCATCTTTGGGGATTTTTATGCATCAGGGAAGCAGGATGCAGAGGTTAAAAAATCACTGGTCTCCCACAAAAAATATTACAGTACTATTTCAATGTTTTAGTTACTTTTACATAACATTCCTGACTTCTACAAGACATATTAGTTTTTTTTATCTGTCAGCAAAAATTATGTATGCAGGCCATTTTTTCAAGTAATATTAACAGAAGCTCTCTTTGGCAAGTTTAGATTTGGTTTCCAAAAGTATTTCTTGCTTCTTCAAGTTTCCTGTAATATCAGTACCTTAGCACATTGTACAAAAAGCAACTTTTTTTCTTCAAGGCATTCATGACCCACAAATTATTGGAGACAAGGCCAAATGGTTTGCAGGGGACTTGGAACCTGTTGTCTACCAAGTTTTTGATTCACAATCAAAGATTTGCAGAGAACCTTGGATTGATGTTGACT